TGAGTGTGTGTGAGTGTGTGTGAGTGTGTGTGAGTGTGTGTGAGTGTGTGTGGGGGGGTGGGGGGGTGACGACAGCAAAAGGCCGAGGTCGGATTCGGACCCCTGGCCCCACTGCCATGAGGACTATAGCCGCCCCCACGTCCACGTCCACGTCCACGTCCACGTCCACGTCCTGTGTTTTGACGGTTACATAAATCATGAAGGTGTCATGACGTAAATGTGTTTTCTGTTGGAATGGGGAAATGATTCGGCCTGAAATAAGTCTCAGGCGGTTTATTCTGAAAAGTTACTGATAGAAATCACACTTTACACTTTAGATTCATCTTGTAAATTAAATGTTGTTATTTAACTTTTAGAACACATATAAAATGATAAAGCCGAGGTAGAGGATGAATCACTGCTCGATCTACTACATTTTATTTTGGGGGCGTTTTGGACCGTGGATTGAGAAGGAAACTAGAGATTAAGCAGGGGGAATGACATGCGGGAAAGGAGCCACAGACTTGAACCAGGGCCGGCCGCTTGGAGGGCTATAGCCTAATAAATGGGGCGTGACATCACCGCTAGGCCATCCCGCCCCCCTAAACACTAACTCTGTGAAAAGAAATCTGTGGAAGAATGGGAAACAGAAAACTTTTCATTTCAACATTTAAATACAAACTGTTGGATCCTCATGGGGCGCCGGTAGCCTAACGGACTTATGTACAGAGGCTCCCCCAAGCAAGAGGCCCCGGTTCAAATCCGACCTGGGGCTTCTTTCCCGCATGTCCCACTCTCTCTCTCTCTCTCTCTCTCTCTCTCTCTCTCTGATTTCTGACGTCCACTGTCCCATCTCTACAATAAAAATGAGACTTTACATTGAATCATGAATCCCAAGCTGTTGGATAAAACAGACCGACTTCACTGAGATGTATCAAACTGTCTCATGTGGTCTAAAGCTACTACGAGGACTTTGAGTGGTGAATAATCAGTCAAAATCATGTGAAATTAAGTTTCATCGACGAGTGAAGCCAACACACGCGCCTAAAGTGAGTAAGTGCCGTTTAAAAAGCTTGAAATGTAACTGAACCGAGACATCACAGATTACAGCGGACTGTCATCTGTGTGTGTGTGTTCAATGAGGTCCTTTGTACAGATATAAATGGAAAGAGGGGGACATGGAGGCCACTGAAGAGGACATTTTGTCTGACATTCTCTGAGTCGCAGACTGAATACCGGACTTTGTTGACTTTCATGTGTTTTTTTTTATATTGTAATTAACTGCAAATAAATTCTTAAGTTATAAAGTTAATCTCTTAATGGCAACAAAAAGTGGCGTCGGTGTTGTCTTGGAAAAATTAATAGAGAATTACCGCTCTTTTTTGGTTGTCTTTTTTCCTCAAAAGACCATGAACTGTAAATATTAATGTTTGAAGCCTGAGTGAAGTCATCCGTCTGTTCCTGCAGACCGCCATCGATGGTGGTCTGCATGCTGGAAATGCTGTCTCAGTCTAACTTTCAGTCAGCGATCACAGGGAATAAAGGTCACCACCCCTCGTCCCACTGGCTCCAGGTCCAAGCTGATCGTTTGCTCTTACTGACATTGTTCCTTTTTTTCTAGATCCTTGCTTGTGTTGTACTTACTCTCTGATGTACGTCGCTTTGGATAAAAGCGTCTGCTAAGTGAATTGTAGAATTGTAGGTGAATTCTCTTGATTATATCCTGCTGCGTTCTCACATCAGTTCACTCTGACTTTCTGCAGAATAAATACCAGGAGGATGGAGGAGAAACTCTAGAACGAAAACTTCAGGAAGGTTTTGCAATCATGAAAGCACTAATGGAGATTTATTTTTCTACATTATTATAAAAAAAAGGGCCTTTAAAAAATATGTTTTGTACTCTTTCTTGTAGGTCGGCCCCCCCTGTTCAGCATCTACAGCTTCAAAATATTGAAAACAAGTTCAAACTGTTACATCGCTCCCTCGCTCAAGGTCAGTTAAGGTCATAAAAAAAAAAAAAAAACAGCTGAGAGATCTGCTTACGAGATATTCCAGCGTTGGTGGCTGTCTCCTCTGACGTCGGTCTTTAGGCAAGGCCTTCAGCTCGGCTCCTCTGGTGACACAACAGCTGTCAGCAGAGTTCCTCTCGAGTCAAAGTACAAATTTAACTATTTAAAAACGCTGTTAGAAGAAGTTTAACTTCATTATAACCACGTTTGGAGAGACGAGAGACGGCTTCTATCTTTTCCTTTCCTCTTGCTCTTCAGTTTTCAGTTTTTATTGTTTTTTTACACTTGATTGTAAATCAAATTTGTTTTATTTTCTGACTTTTTTCATTTTTAGCGGCAGGACAGTGGATAGTCAGAAATCGGTGCAAGAAAGAGGGGGGGAGAGGGTAGGAGCAAGAGGTCGGATTTGAACCCAGGCCGCCCACTTGCAGGACATCAGCCTCTGTAATTTTAACCATTACAGTATCGGCATCCCGACATTTGTTGTTTTTTAAAAGTGCTTTGGAACATTGACTGAGGCGATCAGAAGAAAAGCACAAAATGTTATTTTCCCGTCTTGTTTTCAGGGTGATTATTTGATCACTGCAGACGTATTAAACAACGATTAGATAACCTCGACTCACATGGTATTTCTTTCTGAACATACTTAACCCTAGAACACTAACGCTGGGTGATCTTCATTGTGTTGCTGCTGTCTGAGTTGTTCCTGTTTTTTTGGTGATTTAAAAAAAAACAAGTTCCCAGCTCTATTATTCAATTATTTTAGGAATTTTTCATCATTCAACGATTTTCTCATTTTCCCCTAACTTCAGAGCCTTTTCATAGCGGCCCCACATGATACCTTTTTTCTGTTTTATGAAACTTTGTATAAGGGGAAATTAAAGAAGAGTACTTCAATTTGCCATGTATTGTTGTACTTTAATATATTTTGATGGGAAGTATATTATATCTGGTAAAATGTACCCGACGTTATTGATGGTGTTACAAAACTGTTATTTAATGTTCCAGGGTTAAATCAAAAAATAAAGGAGACAGAATCAATCAATCTGAAGACGTCACTTCTGTGCGTTTGTTTTTTCTTTTTCTTAGAAACTCCAATCAGTGACGGTTTTATGAAGAATATTTCTGTCTGGGTTTTTTCTTTTTTTATCTGAATTAGTACACGGTTATATGTTTCTTTCCATGAATCATCATTTGGGAAATGAAATTCAGCCACATTTAAAAAAGCTTTCAAAGTAAGAGACCCTGACATTGTGTAAGTGTGCAACAAACCAGACCTGGAAATAAATATAGACCCTTATCATATACCACCATCTAGTGGACAAACCCTACAATGATGAATATGTTCAGGAGGAAACGATGGACCAAACCTGTCCTGGAAAAGGATGTTTGGAGATTTTAGATTATCAATAAAGTTGTTTTTTAATCTACAAAAAACATTCAAATGTTTGTTAATAAAATGACAACAACCTAAAGAGATAATTCTTTCTTTTTTTAAGCAATTCATGGAGTTGGATTCAAAATATTGTCAATTTAAAAATGATGTTACGACTCAAATGTTAACACACGATCAAATATTAAACTGATTTAAATGAAAGAGACGTCAGGAGGACTTTGAGTAGAACGATCTCAGACTTACACACACAAGGACATATTTGTAAATGGAGTCATGACATCAGAATTTTAAACTCTAAATTGATGCTAGAAAAAATCTTTGCCATGAATCCACAGCAATAAAATTAAAGTCCTCAGCCCACGATATAAGGAAATGCCTATTTTTAATGACCTTACGTAGAAGTCAAACTCCTGCACACTGTCTGAAAATGCAGAAATACGTTGGAAACATTTCTGTACTAAAACTTATTAACATATTTCTGTATTTTCACCCAGAGCTCTCTTTCTGATTGTTCTGATGCGACCGTGTGCTCGCCATCGATTATGGAAACGTCTGATCGACTCATCTAATAATAAATTTCAAATTTTTTTATGATCCTTATTTTGAAATTAAAAAGTAAACTCCTGTAAGTGTTTCAGTACTCAAAATCAGTCTTGGTCTTGAGACAACTTTTTGAAGGTGTCGGTCTCGTTTCAGAATCAAAAGCCTTTTGGCTCGGTCGCACCCTGCCACGGTCTTGGTCTTGTCTTGGTCTCGCCCTGCCTTGGTCTTAGTCTTGGTCTTGGTCTTGGTCTTGGTCTTGGTCTTGGTCTTGGTTCGGTCTCGCCCTGCCTTGGTCTTGGTCTTGGTCTTGACTCGGTCTCCTCCTGCCTTGGTCTTAGTCTTGGTCTTGGTCTTGGTCTTGGTCTTGGTCTTGGTCTTGTCTCGGTCTCGTCCTGCCTTGGTCTTGGTCTTGTCTCGGTCTCACCCTGCCTTGGTCTTGGTCTTGTCTCAGTCTCACCCTGCCTTGGTCTTGGTCTTGTCTCAGTCTCACCCTGCCTTGGTCTTGTCTCGGTCTCACCCTGCCTTGGTCTTGGTCTTGTCTCAGTCTCACCCTGCCTTGGTCTTGGTCTTGTCTCAGTCTCACCCTGCCTTGGTCTTGGTCTTGTCTCGGTCTCACCCTGCCTTGGTCTTGGTCTTGTCTCGGTCTCACCCTGCCTTGGTCTTGGTCTTGTCTCGATCTCACCCTGCCTTGGTCTTGTCTCGGTCTCACCCTGCCTTGGTCTTGGTCTTGTCTCGGTCTCGCCCTGCCTTGGTCTTGGTCTTGTCTCGGTCTCGCCCTGCCTTGGTCTTGGTCTTGTCTCGGTCTCACCCTGCCTTGGTATTGGTCTTGTCTCGGTCTCGCCCTGCCTCGGTCTCAGAGCACTCTGGTCTTGGTTAGTGTGCTCTTGATTTATTGGCAACATTTTGGTTGTAGACCTGTATCAGTTTTCTCCAGATGAAAGTCTAGAACAGAACAGTTGCTCTCCTACTCAGCCGTCTTAAGAAAATGAATGTACGAACGTTTTTTGCAGATAAGTCGACGATTCGTTGCACCTTTACTCTAGAGGTAGAAAACATCCCACACATGCTCACAATAACTTGTTGTTTATCATTGTGTCACCTTTATTTGTAATTCTTTTTTTTTTTTTACATACATGTTTGAACATTTCAACAGGACAAAAAAAAACTGACAACAACCACTGCATGCAGGTATGATCACCCTCCTGAAGCCGAACACAGCTCACCTGTGCTTTCAACTTTATCAAGAAAAATAACAACAATAATTTAAAAAAAATAATGAAGCAGCAAATTGATAAAGTGCAAGTCTTCACTCTGAAGGAAGTGTTCTACGGCAGCCGTCCCGCTCACTTGGCAACACACAGTGTATGGCTCTATTTTACGACGCGGCCGAATCAACCACGACCTTTCCAAAGCGGATGTGGTGTCGTCTCTTTGGGCGCTTTTCCCATGGTTTCCTTTTTAAAGGCAAATTAAGTTACATTATATACACATTTTAGAAACCAACAGCACAATCTCATGTCCCAAACGGGTGGGGGGGGGGGGGGATTCTGCATTTTGACCCCCTCACAAACCCGTCATACAGACTGAAGCCCAGATTCCTACTCGGAGGTCAAATATTTGTCTGCAGGAACAGAACGGGACCCGCATTCAGAGCAAGACAAAAGAGTGGAACTCAAGATACACGAGACACCGAGGTCGCCATCGGCAGTGCGGATGTCTCGAGTTAAAAACATCATTCTCTAAAATCTTTAGATTTGTAATGGAGAATCAGTTCTGAGGAATTTATTTTTTAAAATAGCGTCAAAAGTTTCGAGTTGAATTTAATAAATTGGGAAATAAAGTTGCACACCGTGAACTTCTTTTAGTGTCCTCGACAGAGGGATCAAGTTTAAAAAGTCTGAAGATCAGATATGAGCCAAGTCAAGCTAACTTCAACGATAATGATAGAAATCCCTTCTTATTTTAGATTTATTAAATTTAGTTTTTAAAAAAAGGTGCCCAGGTGTGAGATCAGGAGAACTTTTAACAACCTAAACATAAACTTCAGTTGTCCCTGTCCGTTGTCTTTAAATGAGCTCACACGTCTCTTTGGTTTTTCTGACTTACCTAATAGCCGACTTTAACGCCGACACCCTCCCCTCTGTTGCTAAGCGACCAGATAGCAGAGTCTTCTGTGAGAAGCCTCAGATATCTGGGAATGCTTTAATGCACTGTTACCACATTTATTTCAAGGTGTCCTTTTAGTTTCATGGGAAATATTCACAATAAAGCAACTTCAATAAAGTCTGAATTCGGACATTAAACATCTAACCATGTGCAGAAAGTCTCCAGGTCCTTTTGTAAATAAATATATTATTTATCATTAAGTTAAAAATCACCTTTGTGATATTCCAAATATTCAGTCTCATCAACAAATCCCACGTGCAGATCCAAACCAATGACAGGCTGTGAAACCAATGTTTCAAAGCTTCTTCCTGTGTTACTGACCAACATAGTCCCATTAAATACATAATTTCCTTCTCTTTAAAGGTCCAATCAGTAAGATATATGATCAGACATTAAGGAAGCATGCTATGTTGAAGTGCTGGCTTCTCTGACAACAATGCAGCAGCCAGTATGTCCTCCTTCTAACTTTAGATTCTGCTCCTGAATGCTCTGGATTTGTGTGGACCAGAGAAACACATGGAAATAAAGAGGTCTCTCTCTCTTGACTTTGGATTGATTAATGTGCGACCTCTCCCATTTAATGTAGACCCTCTAAAGTCATAGTTTGTAAAAGCTTGTGAAAGCTGAAAGTTGTTGGTTTGTAAGTGGACTTTGTTGACTGACAAAAAAATATGGAATATCTCAAGTCAATAAACTGGGATCTCTGTAATCATTATTAACATTTTGAACTCCGCTGTTTGAAATGCACAAATCAACTTAGTTATTTCATTGCTGCACAATCTCTCAGGCATAAACGAAGATGTATTAACTCAAAAAGAACAATAAAGGAAAAGCACTCAGTAGATGTAGACGTAGGGCTATTGTACATAAAGGTGAACAGATAATACTCAGTTAAGATGCTTAACCACACGTTAATATGTGAAGTGTCACCTGTTTCCTTCTCGTCTGAAACTCGACCAGTTTCCTCCTTCTCTGCATCACTCTCAGACTAAACGCTTCATCTTTCAAATATTCTTCAGTAACTGGAGGAATAAATTAAGTCACTTTCTTCGATTCTCCCTCATGTGGACTTGCCTTTCACTAAAGCATGGCACGCGTCCAGTGTTCAAAGTGTATGTACAAAAAATCTAATCTACACACACACTCAGAGGCAGAGTGAACTCGAGCTGAATTTAACGTTCTGAAAGTCGCTCAGTGTTTTAGGGATTCAAGGAGAGCTCAGTCGTTCTTCTGCTCTGGAGTCAGATCCATCGGTCCTTCTGGAGACCCCAAGTCCATGTTCTCTTGTGTGGCATCAAAACTGAACTTGAAAGCGCTAAATAGAGTAATAAGCATCAGGAAGTCAGCTGGGAAGTCAAAGTGGTTAAACCTTTTTTTTTTTGTTCTATTAAACCCCCCGTCTTTGAACTTTTCTGTAGATTTTTGTGTGGCGAGTCATCAGGTGACTCCATTCCTGAAGCCAAATCAAAACCAACCATTCAAATTAAATATCCTAACTAACTACTTCTATTTCCCCCCCTCTTCTGTTGACAACATTGGGTACCACATGTTCCTCTGGAGGTGTTCAGTCTCTCAGGCGGAGGTTCTCCGTCAGGTTTACTTGCTGTGGTGAAGGTACTGCTGCGTGAACATGTTGAGCTCGCTGTCCAGCCAACCTGCCTTGTTCCTAAACAACACAACAAACACATTCATAAGAATGGGATGTAACTTAAATAACAAACATTCAGCTCAATCAATAAGGTGCTATTGTTCAGGGTGATCCGTGTTTTTGACAAAAGCTCTACTGTGTAGTTTAACTTGAGCATGCAAGTAGTCGTCATTACTTTGTAATGCTTCTTCCTTTAAGGTCACATATTCTGTAAATTCCTCTTCTCCATGTTCCTCTAACTCTAATGTGTCTCTAGTCTGTCTACAAACCCCCCAATGATAAGAAAAGTCCATCCTCTCTGTCTTTTGTCTGCTCCACTTTTCAGAAAATGTGTGCTCAAACAGGCTGTTTGGAGATTTTCCTTTCATGACATCATAAAGGGCAGTAACCCCTCCCCCAGGTGGGTGACACTCCCACAGCTAGGTGTTTGTTCTGCCCTCTGAGTCTGCCTTCTCACTGTAAACAATAGGACATGGAGAGAGGAAGCCCGAGCCGACCCAAGCCCTTCCAGAGAGGGGGCGTGGTCAGACACAGCTCATTTACATATTTAAAGGTACAGACACAGAAACAGCCTGTTCTGAGCAGGGCTAAAATAGAGGGGTTTATAGGCATGATCAAATACTGGATCAGAGTGGATTTAGAACAAGAAACTTCACACACATGTTTTGGGGAGCTCTGAGACTTGAACTGGTTGAAGAGGAGGAGTTGCAGGTCTTTCAGTTAGACTCACATGTCTGGCTGTTTGTTTGTGCACCCTGAGTGATGTGAGGTTCTTACCGCAGCAGCTTAGCCTTGCTCTGCAGGCTGTCCAGGAGCTCAATCTTGCTGTTCATGTCAGTGATCTCATCTTCCAGGTTCTGACGGGTGACGTCTACCTGCTGGCAGAGCTGAGCAAACACACCTGCCAACTCCCTGATAACAAAAGACAGCAGGACACACACAGGGTTAGAGCACAGTAGTGCAACAACTATGAGCTACATTTGATGTAATCACAAAACCTGCTCTGAGGTCATAGTAACAACTGTGTCAGTATGGTGGACGAGATGCTCACTGCTGGACTTGGTGGCTACAGTTGGAGCCGGTGTAGCTGACGATGAGCTGCAGCTTCTCACTGGCGTAGTCCACAAACTGTCTCTTGAAGGCTCTCTCCTTGGCCTTGGTGGTCCAGGTGAGCCTCTCGTAGATGTAGAGGAGTCCGTACAGACCCACGGACAACGCAATCAGACGCCAGCCCACTGCCTTCCAGATCTGAAACACACAGAGAAAAGGTTAGGCTGAACACCTTCTCCAACCAGATATCTAAAGATACTCTGGTACTTAATTTAACCTATAAGTTATAATTATTTAAGACACATCTTTGCATAAACATACGCCTTTTTACTTACCTACATAAAGATAGAGACTTAAAAAAAAGTCAGTTTTTCTTGCATAAATAATGAATTTATTATGAAAATGTTTGCTTCATTATTTCATTTTTATCTAAACGTTTGTGTAAGTGTCATGTTGTGTTAGTGTGATGTTGTGTTTTCTCACCACGCCACCAACTACAAGGACGCCCATGGAGGTACGCGAGGTGAGGGAAGCGAGGCCGGTCACCATGGAGACCATCAGCTCCTCTTGGGTCATGGAGCTCTGTGGGAACGGAGGCATGCTGGTGCTGACCGGAGTCAGAGCCATGGGCCGAGGAACCTGCAGGGAGAAAAGAGATGACAAAGAAACTCAAATAAAAGTCACAAATACATGAATATTTCACATTTGCATTAACCGCTGTGTGTCTGCAGGGATCTCATTTACTAGTTGTGTAACATTTTAGACATTTTTCTCTTGGGCATCAACAGCAGTGGATCAGGTCTGTTATATCAGCCTATCATACGATACTGTTTGTGCAGTTTTTGACCCCTACAACAGCATTACAAGTTGGCCCTGCTGTGTTTAGTTATGATCTGTAGGTGGCGGTAATGAGCCAGCAAAGGCAGAAAAGACTGATTGGACATAAAGAACACAGGGTACAAACTTGAGGAGACATCTCTGTCACTGCCTTTTCCTCCTGATCAAGACTCATTAATCTATAGAGGGACATGTTTTGTTACCTTGTAAAAAAACAACAACAATCATTCTGTCTTTCACTCTGTGTAAGATAACAGCTCTGACAGTTTTTCGGGTCCTACAACTGGACACAGCGATGTTGTTCTTTTGCCTGCCGACCTCCAGCAGCAGTAAAGAAACACCTCTCTGATTATTTTTTGAGTTCAGCAGGTAGCCTCGTGGTTATTTCAAAAACTTGTTATTTAAATGATTCATCTCCCAAAACTGCATCTTCTACTGAACAAATGGCAATAATCAAAGTGGAACAAGCCGGTTAAGAGCGATGGGTGAGTAAATTTTCCTTTGGGAGATTTTGGAAAAGTATACAGAGAAGTTCTTGCAAAGGATCCTCTTTATTTTGAGTCGGATTAGGATGCTAAATGCTCTTAAAGGACAAGTATAAAGACCCTTTCAGGATACCATTAATCTGCTTATTCAGACTGGAAGGAGGGGGACTAATTTCTGACGCCTTTACCTGGTCGTTGTAGCCCATGAGGGCCCGCCTGCTGTTCTTCGGCCCCAGGAAGCGGTTCACCAACATGGTCCAGCCCAGAGAGAAGTGGAAGCTGATGTCCTCCTGGAAGTCCATGCAGAGTTTGTCACAGGCCAGATCGTAGCTGAGGCTGAAGCACTGACGAGGGACCAGCTTGTCCACCTGCTCTCTGACCGGGCTGGGCAGCAGGGGCTTCAGACCCTCTGCAAACACACACAGATGGAAACCAGGTCAGTGTGTTTGTTTAACTTAGGTCAGAGTAAACCATCTTTCTTATCCTTGGACATCAAAGCCCATTAAGACACAATCAGTGCTGTTATTACAGCAGACAGGTGTGAACCACAGGTGGAGGGTTACCTATCATGTCGGTCTGCGTGCCCTGCAGGGCGCCAGTGATGGAAGTGGAGCACCTCTCAGACATGTTCTTTCCCAGACCGTCCTCTATGTGCCTATGGAGCTCCTACAACAAAAAACACAACAACAAAGGAACTATCAAAATCTGAAGTTCAGTTTCACTGATGTCTCACGTAAATTAAAAGTTCATAAACCTAAAGGCCTAATCAAGGCATGAGTCAAGGCTAACCTACGATGAGAAATTGATGCAATCACAACACACGATCCCTCCAGTTAACTTGTGCAAGTCTTGCAGATTACGTTTGTGTGTGCAGAGCTCAAGCTGTTCTGCAGCTCGTGTAAAGAGTTTAACCTGTTTGTCCCCAGACTTTGCTATGGTACACACTTGATGTGCAGGTGAAGTCACCTGTAGTTGTCCTTGAGGACAAGGAATTTAGGAGTAAGAACTTGTGAAAGGAAGAGAGGTACCAGGTGATAGGCTGTCAAGAATGTAAAGGATTATCACAGAATTAGTTCTGTTAAATAAATGGTTAGCTATGCTGCGATTATTGTTTTCATAGTGCTGCAGCTCATGCATTGTTAAAATAAATACAGATAAACCTTTTGTGTAACACGGGTTCTTTCATGAGGTTATTTTAATCTAGAACAGTTTGACCTGTCATTCTGCCATTTCAAGAGAAAATAAAAAAAGACCAAATAAAGAAATGAATAAGCACAAAAGTGTCCAGTTTCTTGAGTGCTACGTGAATCAAAGTGTTTGGAGTCTCTTTTAGAGGTTTTTCAGTCAGGAGGCAGAAGCAGTGGGGGGGAATAACAGAGAAAAGTGCTGCCTGCTTCTTTCAAGGACTAAAGTTAATTAAATGAAGTGTTCAGACAGAGAGCAGGGTGTAGAGGAGCTCAGTGGAAGGCTAGAAATGTGCATCAAGGTTTCCAGTCTCGGATCTCTTTTTCTTGCCCATCACGAGCAAATCAGTCTGAAAAAAATCACCTATTATACAAGAAACATGATTTATATGATGTAATTCTTAGATTCTTAATATGCATCGTAAAACTGGACAATCCTGCAGTTTTCATTCCCCTGATTGTTTCACCTTTCATGATAAAAAAAAATGTAAAAATTTGCCCGTCTACTATATTTATTCTAAATGTATCTCTTCTGTTGTTGACCGTGCCTTTTAAATGATGTAGCTCATCCTGCACAAATTCTTGTCATTAAACCGGAGAGAGCACAAAGACAAAGAAGAAGACGATCAGAGACGGAGGTGCTGATCAAATTCAGCACTGCGTGTGATTAGAAAAAGAGCAGAGCAGGAGAAGCGTGCAGTCTGAGTAACTGTGATTAAAGTATTTAGCCAGGTTACTGCTGCCCAAGAATTGACACCTCGCAGCAGCACCTTCATCCCCCCCTCCCGTCTATCCCCAGTATTAGTCCATCTTAACTACTTGGGATCAGGCCCTCTACATGTGATGATCTGTGAGGTAACAGCTTTTGGAGAAATGCGTCCTGGCCTGTGCTTGCACTCCTCACAGATGTGAATAGAAAGGATTAAGCAGGAGCAGCATTCTTACGGCCTCCGTGCCCATCCAGTGAGGGTGAGGCTACATGAGTGCACCATTACTCAGACTGGGCTCTTATGTAACACAGATTAAAGGGGCTTTGTACAGGTCCAGTGAGCCAGCAGGATATCAGGGATGAGCTTTTATACTGTGTGCATGTAGATACTGGCTGAATGGTATGTAGGAGGCTGAAAAACACTTGTGTTGGGAGGAGGAGTATTTCTGGATGCACACGCAGCATTGTGTTTCTATTTAGGATCATACTTGTATCCTGTTCTATCACAAGATATTTTACACTGTTGTTAAAGTCAGACCGGTCTGGGAGGTGAACACAACAGATCTCATCAGCTCATCAGGAGCCTGTGTGGACCGAACCGTCTTCAAAATTTTAGTGACAGACTTTTGCATGCTTTAAGTGATCCACCATTCAGTACAGACTCCCCTGAGCTAGAGTGACAGCATGTGTGCCCTCACAGCAGAGCTAACCTCCACAACTAGTGCTGACGCAGACCAGCTGATAACCTCAAACACAACAGCTGACCGACAGCTAACTGCTGACAAGCACAGAAACATTCTGCACCTGTATGACAGAAGAGGTTAGTGAGCCTCTCCTCTCCAAAGGATAGACCTCACAGAAACTATTTTAAGCATCATTCCCCCCCTCAGCATTCTGTACTAGTTTTACGAAGGTCACATTGAGGACAAAGATTTCCGTTAAATCTGTGTTGAACTCACATTCTTGTAGACCTTGAGCACCACTTGTGACGGGTGGAAGTCCATGTGGAAGTCGTCCACCAGGACACTGAGCTTCCTGATCTCCTCTGCCATGGCATTAGACACCTGAACATGAGCAGAGAGCAGGGGTCAGGATTTTATTTATATACAAGAAGGAATCAAGCTGTTTTATAACGGCTGCTGAGAAGGCAGGTATGTTTGGATGAGATGCAGGGCTCACCTGTCTCTCCACCTCCTCAGTTATCTTCTTGATCTTGGCCTTACAGTCCATGGTCAGCAGGTCTAACTGCTTGTCTATGAACTCCAGTCGGTCCTGACGGTCCTCTTTGGTCTCGAGGCAGTAAACCCTTCACACCACAAACAAACACATTACTCACCAATTTGTCACCAATCCCACCCCCCCAACATTCCTCCTCTGAACTCAACTCACCTCTGCTCCTGTGCAGCGATGTGAACTGAATCCATGATGCGGCGCAGAGCTTCAGAGATCTGTTTAGCCCTGACTGTGTGCTGCTCGAACTTGGTCTTCACGGCTGACTGCGAGATGCACTCCTACAAACGGCAGCAGACAGGTCAGATACAAAGGCAGCGAGAATACCAAACACTTCAGACTTCATCAGACACTAACAATTCAGATCTGGATGATTCAGTGACATTGCTCTGTTCTAGCCTCCCTCCATCAATTCTGTAGATTTATTGAGGAAGAGTGATTCAAAAACATCAGGGAAGTAAGCATAATTCAGAAATGCCGTCAGACAGTCAGTCGTTTCTCAGAGGAGAGAAACTTGTGACCCGCTGAAACTGTATCACATGTTGTTCATTTTGAGGATCTTACCTCGAATCGCCTCTCAAAGTTTTGGAATTCAAACATTCTGGCTTGAAAACCTTCTGCAAGAGCGCCTCCTAAATCAGGAAAACCAAATGAAACTGTTAAAACTTGCTCTACGTTTCAGGAAACCTGTTATTTACAGCACTGATACCAAAATGATAAGTCACTTCAAGTATAACTGGAAAAAGAAGCCAAAGTTTGAAAATGTAAAAGTACGGAGCAGTACAAGAACTTCTAAAAGAAACAGGCTGATTTCTATCTTTACTCTGAAACATTTTATAAAAGTCTCTCCTAACAAGGCGACTACTTGAGTGACCTGCTGAACCTGTGATCATTGACAACCCTCAGGGATTGTCTGTACTTTATAAATGTCAACAGATATTTATCTAACACTGGTTAAGTGTCATATTCCAAACTGAAACACTGACCAACACTGAAAAATTAAATATTCAATTATTTTTTTAAATTCTGTGACACTCTGAAAGCTGTCAGGTTCCCCACCTCCTTCAGGCATCCCTTGAGCCTTCTGCACTCGAGCCTGGAGCACTTCCTTTGCAGACACGAAGAAGATGCGATCACTGGCCTGGCTCCGGTCCACCAAACCCAGCTCGTCGACTAAGAAGTTGGTGCACCGGTCCATATGCTGCCTTCGGACCTGTCGCAGAAAAAAACACTTACTTAAACGTGAATTACAACAAATAATGCAAAACGAACACAGCTTCTTTATGCGGTGTGAAAATGTCTATTAAGGTCTTTGGACAATGTGAAGTTAAGAGTTTCAAACTACCCGGGTGTTCATGTCTTTAACTGCACACATAAAAAAACACAGAGGCACAGAGACAGCATGAAAACATGTCCCTGTCAGGTCTGAACCCAGGACTTGCAAGCTTAAATGCAAAAACCAGTAATCACTGAGTTGAGAAGCTGCGAGCATACAGTTTTGTTCAGGAAAAATAAAAAATTAGAAGATTGGGATGTCAATTATTGTGGTTCAAGCATTTCTATAAGCCTCCTCAATCAACAACCTGAGATTGAACCATAAAAAAAAATTAATTGAACAAGGTGTGGTGTCATGTCTCAGCTGCCGACATTTCAAAACCAGAGCAAACAAACCCTGACAACAGTATCAACACAGCTCCATAACACTGAGGGTAACTGAGGGTAAAGACTTTAAACTTTAATACAGGTTATATCAGTTGGGGAGTGGAGAGAGGCCTGTGGAGCAGGAGGTGATCCTCAGGTCACACCCAGCAGACTGGATTGAGCGATGGTGATGGTAATACAGGCTAAGCCGTTCACCAGCCTAATCTGAGGCTACCGCTGAGTCAGCAGCAGGTTAGACGTGTACTAGACCTTAGGTCGCACAAACACAAGATGTCACTGTGCCAAGACTTTCCCTTTATCAGGAATCGTATATTCAGAGTCCTTGGAACAGTAACACAGGCTTTGCTAAAATGACTGCTGAGGAGGAATGACTAGGCTAGGTTTGGAGGTTTTGAGGAAACAAAAATGGATCTAGATTCCCGGGAGAAGACAGTGAAAACCTGACTGACCTCCTCCATGTATTCAGGCTCTGAGGCTGAGGCGTCCCAGCGGTTGTTAAGGATGAAGATGTTGGGGCTCGAGAGCCGCTCGTTGACTTTGTGAAAAAATGACTTTTCCTGCAGACAGAAAAAAAAATGGGCAAGGCATCAGAGGAAAATATATTTAAAACAATAGATTTGCATTGACATTGACAACCAAAGTCCTGCACATGTTGCCTCATCTATCTCAGCAGTGTTGTCTTACCGTCTGCATCAGAGTTGACTCAGAATTCGCCACCAGAACAAACACATCGGCATCCAGGCAGAACTTGTCGATCCAGCTGTCCAGTTCTGTGGTGACATCGATACCCGGGCTGGAGGAGGAAAACAGAGCCACAAGTGAGCCAACAGAAATCTAAAGCAAGTGAACAGTGAGCATGGCAGCTTTAACGTGTTCATGCCTACATTGAACTTGTGAAAATGTGCCGACACTAAGGGGGATGTGAAGGCAGCATGTGAGAAATGAAAAGTCAGAAATCAGTTGATCCAGACTTTAAACAGACTTTCAATCTCCTATGACGAGTTTTTAACTTGTTATTGAACAGACTGAACTTAATACTGATGTTTTTCTTGACATACAAGAGCAAACAAAACCATCAATGAAAGGATCCATCCAGCCATTATCTATACCGCTTTTCCCATTTGGGGTCGCAGGGAGCTGAAGCTGATTCCAGCTGTCATTAGGAGAGAGTCGGGATACATAGTGGCCAGGCAATCACAGCACTGACATATAGAGCCGACTAGCCACACTCACATTCACACCTACGGGCAATTATAGAGTCACCAGTTAACCTAACGAGCATTTCTTTGGACTGTGGGAGGAAGCCAGAGTACCCGGAGAGAACCCACACATGCACAGGGAGAACATGCAGACTCCACAGAGAGAGACTCCTGTCAGATGGGGATTCAAACCAGGAACCTCCTCGCTGTGAGGCAACAGCGCTAACCACTGCACCACCATGCAGTCCTATTATTGAAAGGATGTTTATTTTATGTAGTTGTCATCAAATGGAGTGACTAGCAAGCCTGCAGGCTGGCTGAAGAAAAAGCCTCTATTTTACATTTCAAAGCTTTTTGATGAGCAATACGTTCTACTGTTTAAGGAAAGCAGGGTGAGATTTTTTTTACACTTACATATCTATAGGAAAAAAAGAGCAAACAGATAAAAGGTACGGCCTTGTGCACAGGCGTTGCCAAAATCAACACAAACCAAAAGTCCCTCGCAGGATCCTACCAACATCGTACCAACAACCTTTAACAAAAGTTTGTGTAATGTCCTTTCGAGTCAACATTAGAATGCAGCAGGTAAATGTGCAGAGCGTGTTGAAGAGTTTGTCTGTGTCGTATCCTGTTCTGCTCCTCTTCAGTTGCCTGTATAATGTTTTCTGCTTTTGCATTTGTATAGCCGATACATCCTCATGTATGTTTTAGTCATATGAACGTAAAAGCCAGTCTACATTACAAAACAATCCTCCTCCTCATGCGCACTCTACCCAGGAAACACACAAGGCTAAAGCAGGCAGAGTATTTCTAGAAACAGAGAAGGCTTCTCACACAGTCAATCTCCTACTGTGTGTGTGAGGGAGCAAGTCAGGACAATGTCCAGACATGAGTTCATGTGAGAAAAACGGCTTACGGGTAAAAGAATAGCACGTAAATACAAGCTTAGTAAAAGTCAATTGATTGATATTCATCAATGTGCCCTTTGTCACAGTAAAGTCCATGTGACTATCAAAAGAAGGGAGGTTGATTAAATTACTTTAACTTGTGTCTCACCTGTCCACCAAAACCAGATCATCCCTTAGAAGAGCACACTTGGCTTTAGGCCACATCACACACACCAAACTGCCCGCGTCCAGGTCCTCGTCCTGGTGGAGAGCGTGGGCCAGCTGGTTCACCGTCTGTAAACACACATAACATCAAGAATAAGCTGGATTTACATTCACGTTCCACACTGGGGATGTTAAGATTAGAAACACGTTGCTGACCTTTATGCTCTTCCGCTCCTCGGATCCTTCAGTGAGGAGGAAGGACTCGTTGCCATCGGTGCCCTCCACCCTCAGGAAGCAGTTGGTGGTGTGTCCGATCCCCGAGGGAAGCACCTTGTCGCACAGCATGGCATTGATCACCGAGCTCTTTCCGTTACTCGTCCTGCAGAACAAACACAACACCTGTCAGCGGCACATTCAACCCAGAATCATGACACAGATTTACTAAGAGTTGATTTTTAATCATCTAGTTAAATCTAGAATCTGTTGATCATCAAAAGGAAGCACATAATTGGATTTGTAGAAACGAAGAAAAAAAGGAACACAAGGTGGCTATAATATCAAGTTATTTTGTCTCAACATCAATAAAGGAAGTTCTGAAACCAGAGAGAGAAAGATATACATACCTCCCAAAGAAGACCACCTTCATGTGTCTGCGAGCGAGCACCTCTCCGATCCCTGCCACCTTGTTGAGGTAACCTCGGACCTCCTGGACCTGCTCCTCTGTGGTGACCGGGTCCAGCTCCTCATTTTTGTAGGTATCTAACATGAGGAGTGTAGCAGAGAGGAGTAAGTTCACAGTGCATAACCTCTATACAAGCCTGGCAGCAGAAAACTACAGAAGCTTGGTATGTGATGATGTAAGGTGTGATGCTATTCTCATACCCAGGAATGTTTTTTAATGTCATCCACAGATTGGATTTAACACTCTACTCAACTTTATTTACAGAACACAGTTGATCCAAAGAGCATAAGAATGTAACAGACAAGAAGAAGAAGAATCAAAATGAAAGATGAGGTAACAGTTATGTCCGATGTAACACAAAACCTACAGAGTTATGAATCCCTTAGCTGGATGGGTTATTAAAAAACTGAAGGCAACTGAATAGAAATATGTTTTAAGGAGAGTCTTAAAAACACAGATAGTGGGTGGGAGACGGATGTTGGGTGGTTGACGCTTCCACACTGACATAATCTTTATGATTGTCATCGTTTATGTAGTTAAAAAGGTAAATACTGCTGCCTGTTAATTAAGTCAAACAGCAGCAATCTTTGAAAAACAGAACCTTAAGAGGTAAGGTAAGAGAGACGCAATTAGTTCCTGTCGCTGCTTATTGACGACATGAAAACTGGATGTATACTGGAGAGGCAATGCTCCGATAACTACTGTGGTTTTACATGTTTTTCTTTCTTAATCTGCACTTTATTTGATTTCTTTATTCAATTCAATGTATTTGTTATATTGTATGCATTGAAAAGTATAGTGTAGGGGGCGCTGGTGGACTAGTGGTGGCTGCGCACGCCCATGTACAGAGACTACAGTCCTCCAGACGGGCGGCCCAGGTTCGAATCCGGCCTGTGGCTCCTTTCTCGCATGTCTATCCCCAATCTCTCCCTCCTCGATTTCTGACTCTATCAGCGGACCTATCTCTAAATAAAAGACACAAAAACCTTAAAAATAAACCTTTAAAAAAATAGTATAGTGCAATAGTATGCAATGAAGTGCATGTTGCCTTAACAACACCTGATCCCTCAAAAACCAGCTGACAAATGAATGACTGAGTGAACGAATGAATGAAAAGAAAGGCTCTTAGTTTGTCTCCATCGGTCGGCGCCATCTTTACTTTCTGTTCTATATGACGATCTGATTCGAGAAATCTATCTAAATGTAAAAAGAAACTGTCAAAGTGTGTTCTGCTGTTTATTAAACTTACACAGTGCACTGAGAGTCGAAGGTTTAGATTGTGAACAGTAACAGTAACAGAGATATTTGATGGTGGAAAAGGCCTTGACCTCTCCCTGACCTGAGCCGTGTTGAAAGTGAAACTGAAATGATCCTGGTCTGACCTACAAACACAGCCTCAGTGACGAGTGCCAGGTGACCTTCAGGGAGCCTTCACACGTTAAATTGCCTTCTGATCGTTAGAAATGAAAGCATAGTTGAAAGAAGTGAGAAAGGCGGTCTGTACAGTACCTTCCAGAAATAAGGCGCTCTCCTTGATGTAGGCCCCTAACTGTTCAAAGATCCCGTTGATCTTCTTCTTTGCCGTGACAAAGTGTTTGAGCGGCGATGCGTTCACTTCCGCCATCAGTCTCTTATCCTTCTTGCCGTGGACTGCGTTGGTGTTGGGTCGTGTGAAAACCAGAGACATGGCACTGCACAGAGGATAGGACAAAGAACACCCCCTTATGAGCATTCACAGACATCTTGAAAATCAAAATCAAAAGTAAAAAGTAAAACAAAATGATGCATAACTATTTACACTGCCGCTGCTAAACCTATTTGGAACACTTTCATGTTGTCACGGTGGATGGTAGGGTTTTAACTATCTGCAGCTCACGGAGTGGTTTGAAATGTAAAAGTAAGACACAGCTCGTTGACTTAAATGCAGACAACTAAAGCTGCCTGTTAAAACGTAATTTTAACAAATCAAATTGAACAAAAAGGACTTAAGCAACCATAACCTGTTCAAATGTTTATTCAAGCATATTTTTTTTGCTACTTAGGCAGACTTGAAAGTTGCTCACTTATTCTTTATCCTGCTGTATTTTTACTGTTCTGTCAGGAATTGATGAGAACAGAAAATAAATCTACCACTCGGATATGTGCTTGCCAAGTCTTTGGACAGCACTCCCAAAGAAAGAGATTTACAGTCATTGTTTGATCTGAGTGGTTGGCAGATAACTCACTTTGTAAATTAAACTAATTGACCATTTGAAGAGATTCAATAAATGCTTGGAAGGAAAAGATGAGCTCTCTCCTTAAATGTTTACAGTGTAATTTGTTCTGAATTTCCTCCGAATGTTATGTTGCTTCAGTGACATCAACGCAGCACGTCTCCAAACTTTCTGGTTTCCAAAACATTTCTGTGAAAAGGGTGAAACTTGACAACAATGCTAACATTACTGAGCAAAGAATCTAACTGTTTGAGACATCGCTGCCTTCAACATGGAAGCCATCTTTTTCTCACAGCCTCTCCCTGACGCTGCTGATGTGCGGGGGGGGGGGAGGGAAAGGACAACAGTTTGATCTGATTTCAAATGCAATGAGATGATGCAATCCTAAAGTCCAAACCAGCAGCTTGCGTTATGTAATAAGTAATGCATTAATAGAAGGTTTGGAAAGGTCCCCCTGAGGCATCTGGCAAAACACTGCACAGAACAGATCATTAACTATAAATGTTTGAAGGAACACTATCTACAACAACATCCAAGATGGCTGACAGTGATGTCCAGTGTGTACTGTAATCTTTACTACCACTTACACCTGACCTGACAGGAACTCTTCAGACAGAAAGCCTAACACAACTAATCCTATCCGAGGTGAAATTTCCTCTTAAGTGAATTAAACTGTGATAAAACCGTCTTACTACGGATTCACGACTGCAACACGAGGGCTTAGCAAATTCCTAGATAGTCTCTGTACCTAAAAGTCTCATGACCCCACCTGGCTGGACCTTTTTCCTATTATTCCCATCAAAGCAATGAATTGTTCTGAGGTATAGATAAAACTATGTGAGCATCAGGCTATGCTGAGCTCAGAATCTTTGCTAGCTGGAGGTTGGAAAACATAATAAACTATCATAACAGTTTAATTAAAGGTTGGTACCTCAATACGTTTCTTGTGTGGTCATTTCTTTGACGTAAAGACATGTCAAAGGTGTCATTGCCCACGCTCCTGAAAGATATTTTTATTTTGCCATACTCCACTAGAGTCTGCATAATCTGCACATTATTCAATACAGTACAAAAGTAATCCAACGCTGCAAACTGTGAACACAATATAACACTGTGATCTATATCTTATTGATGCACTGGTTAGCCATAAATGCAAGATCACCTGTGCAATATAATTCAATAAAATACACCCTTCATATAGTCTACCTTCCAATGCATCTACATTTTGAGGAGTTGTAACAAAGGTGGTAATTGTACCTTGTGGGTAATAATGACATCATAGTGGATTGCATTATATTGAAAAGTGTACCTAATATTTTGCCAGTTTATGTATGTTCAAGGAGCTGCACATATTGGAAACATCAAGTTATAACATACTCCACTACGACTTCAACTATAATTAAAAAGTAACAGTATCATCTTTCTGATTATGTAAGCAAACACTGAAAATGAAGAAGCTTCATGTAGGTGAAAATTGATGTCAGAGCTGGAGTACTGAATTGCATCTGACAGTACAGGTGTTCACAATGCTATAGCTGGTTAGTGCACAGTGTCAACATGAAATAAACCTTTGTTGTTGGATGCTTTCTAAACCAGCAAAGTCACTAACTCATAGCTAGAGTATGTGTCAGCCTTTTTAGGGATGGGCCATTACTCAGCTGTGACCTTTCACACAGTCTGAAGGTAACACTGTAGGCATGGTTTCAATGTCTTTGATACATTTTAACAGTCAAGTTATTGGTGAATGTAACATGCAAAAACCTCACAAATACACCCAATTTAAGATGCATTTATATAGACTAACAACACAAGCTAGCCTTTGTTAAGATACTTGTAAAGGCTATCTCACGTAAGTTTGAATCGTAACGTTTCATACCCAAAGTGGGTTAAAGTATATCCTCTTTGTGCTTGTCCTTGTGTTATTAACATCTATTAGCAGTGACTGTCATAGTCCGTGCATTAAAATGCGACCAGCAGGAACAAAATCATGCTAATTTACAAGCTAACTAGCCACCTAGCATGCAGGGTGACAGACTGCTTCGGTTTCGTGACTTACCGTGGATGTGGGTCGTTCCTCAAAAATAATCCTCTCGCATCCTGGACCCTCGGGTTTGGAAAATGTCTTCAAGCTAACAAGCAAATGTTACTACGCGACTGTGTGTGAGTGATTAGCGTTAGCTGCTAATGCTAGGTGAAGGGGGCGTCACTGTTTGTTTCAAAGAGCGCAGCCGTTGCATCAAGTTTTTCTTCGCCGGTTAATCTCTAAATGATGTTAATAATTCCCATTAACTCAAAGCAGACGTGGGTAGATCCAGCACAGGCTTTCGTTTTTAGTCAAATAAACGCTATTTTGATGTTTCCCAGAGACGCATGAGAGGGACGTCTCGACCTTACAAAGTAAAAGTATCGCGATAACGCCGCTTCACACTCTTGAAATCACGTGTGACGTCACTTGTGATTTCCAACCTTTCCAACCTGCTAATAAGTTATGATGAATTTCTGGCTCATAAAAACTCTCCTGTAACATGTAAAGAATATAAAAATGGTTGTTAGGGCTTCTGCAAGCGGTATCTTGCAATTACTTAATTATTCTTCTGAAACCCATCAAGGAATTTGAAGAACCAGTGGTAAAAACCATTGCTTCCAGTGGTGTAGTAGTGCCAGAAGAAGTGAGGAAGTGAGAATACTCTTAATTTGTCCCCAAATGTTTTATATTCAAAGCAGTCCAGCAATAATTACCCAACCACTGCCAACTGTTCAATATTACTTGTGGAATAACTTTGTAATTCACTGCTTTACAATTGTCTATTTATTTACTCAGTCACTGCACTTTAACTTCAACTGTCTATTTATTTTTTTATTCATTGCACTAAAACTATTCATTTACTCATCCAGTCACTGCACAATAATAACTGTATATACTATGTCACTGCACCATAACTGTCTATCTATTTATTATTATTATTATCATTCATTCACTGAACAGCATATTCTCTCTCATATCACCACAAATACATTTTTGTTGTTGTTGTTTTTGTAAACGCTGCTGTTTAGGATTGCTGCTAACAAAGTTTCGTTGTGTCCTTGTATACAACGATAGTAAAGATTCTATCTTCTATCTTCAAATTACCTTTTATATGTGCACACTAAAACTCAACTTCCACAGCTTGACATAATAGAGTCTGGATTGTATATGTGAGGTTGAATTTACTTGCTCAATAAATAAATTAAATATTAAAAGCCAAAAGTATCAGCATTCATACCAACAGTCGCAGAACTAAGCAATTACCATGAAGAAAATAAATATGCAAAAAGAAACAAGCATGCAAGTCTTTTCACACTTTGTGTTCAATCCTTTATTGATCCCCAATAGTCTATATTAAGAGTCTAGATGCTGTTTTTCCTCGTGTTTCTCTTTTCCTTTTTGCGTCTGTCAATGTTATAAAGAAAATAAAGTCAATGCTGCCTCCTACCGGCACTGATGAGCACAACTATGATCCACTCATGCGTTTCTTCATCTTTAAATGGTCGCCAACAAACGTCTAGCCGTGCACAGCGCCCCCTGTTGCAGATTCATGGCAGTAATTCAGCAATAGCTAAAAAAAAATAAAACTCATAATTCCCTCAACACCCTCCCAATTAATATTTTAGATTTTTTTAGGCTTCTGATTGGACAGTGGAAAGACTAGGAAATAGGGTGAGAGTGGGGAAAGCAGCCACAGGTCTCGGTCTCACCCTTCCTTGGTCTTAACTTGATCTCAATCCCTAAATGTCTTGATCTTGGTTGGTGTGGTCTTCACTTACCCAAACTTTGGCATTCTTTAGAACGCCTCTCAGGCCGTTCACTCGTTCAAATAAAACAGACACAGAGTAAATCTAAAGATTTCTTTATTTGTATTACTTTATGTTCAGACAATCAGAAAATGACAACTCCTTTTCTTTCAAATGTCTTCTAATCTATTAAGTGATAATACAAACACCTAATGCAAAAAAACTTATCTAAATTAAAACGTAGCGAGACCTGCACGTAGTGGTTCTCAGAGCCAACTTCGATGCAGGCAACGCTGTACTGAAAGATCATTTAGTGAAATGAATCCTGAAGTCTCCTCTGCGTCTACATTCAGTCTGGAATACTTTCACTTGAGTTTACTCGTCGTTCACATGCCTAACTCGAGGAGCAAGGACAGCACCACAACAGGCTTTACAGATATGCAGATATAAATTGGTGTAGTGCTTCTTTAAGCCAAACTGATAATTTCTCAGTTTACCTTTTGATACAGCACAAATAAAGACCCTTCAGGAAGCCAGAGTTCCCCATTTCCCAGAGCATGTTTGTGATCTTTGACAAAAGCTCAAAACAAACAAAATATATCCAAGGCTGTGTTTCCTTGAACTCAATCTCAGAACGTAGATACACACAGCCAGAGCCCACTCAATCACAATTGGTCGCAAAAAGAGTGTAAATCTCAATCCTTGAATTAATATTCTGGATTCATATGCAGACAGATATTCAGTGCGGAGTTGGATAGTTTAAGAAGTGCTGATTTGGTTTTTTTTTTAATGTTGAAAAGTAAAAGTAATATCTCCAAAGATTAGATGGATATATATCCCTCCTAAATTCATCCTGTCCTCTATCAACGAAGAGGCTAACACCAGAAAGTGTTGGGCATTGTTATCAGAAGAGTCCATCATTCAGATCAGGAAGGCCAATTTGGAAAATGAGGGAAAGATGCTGCTGCTTCCAGGTGAACATGCTAGTTGTGGTAAAGTATTGTCTGTACATTCCAGCATGATTCTGGGGAATTCCTCCAGAGCGAGGCCCAGATTCATAAACAGTTAGCATTCCAGACTGAAGAGGCAGAGTAATAAACAGAACAAATGCAGCTTGAACTGGTACTTTTTTTTTTGCGCTATAGACACATCATCCTGCTGTGAGCTAATCTCATTTAAAAAAAACTATGGAGCTACAAAGTACATGTGCTTCCTCTGACAAAAATAAAACTCTACACAGACATTTTCTCTGCAGTTAGATGGACAGTCACCTGTCTCTTCTCTGAGGTAGTAAATAAGTAGAAATATCATTAAAGGCAAGTATAGAGAACAAGGTTTGACTCTTGAATACACCACAAGGACGTGTGTGTACCCGGCCCTTCAAAAATTGAGTTTATGAACACATCCCCGCGTTCAAAAGTGGTGAAACTGCCATACTGTTACAGGTTAAAACTAGCGTTTAATGATTTTTTTTTCTTTTTGCAGAAAGATACATGACAAGGTAGAGGTAGAAAGTTTGACTGAATTATAATGTCAATGTCTGCCGCTAGATAAAGAGTTTAGATTCATAAAATCTACCTTTTATAGTTTCAATCTAATGGCACAAGTAAGAGCCAAATTAACTAAAAGCAAAATCAAAGAAAAACAGAAACCCACAGTTCTGCGTGTTTGAGGTACAGATCATCCTTTTTTTTTTTTTTTCTAGAAATGTTGTAAGTGCTTAAACCCGGTCGAGAGTTAGACACTCAGAGAGGCACAACAGTAGCATTTTAAGACATTGGTGCAACACTTGGGAGGCTGGTTCCTGTGCTAGTGAGAGAAGTCCTTCAACAATCAGTTCATGGAATTAAGGCAGAAGAGAGAGCGTCACCCGACTCTCTTTTTCTAAATATCTTCTTTCCAATATCAAATCAATCACTCGCATCATTCAGCAGGAGGCGTCCTCCGTCTCCACTTCACTTTGACCAATTTTCTTTGAGTGGAGTGTCCATTACTGGAAGGCCGCTGGGGAAAGATCCAATTCACGTGGCATGCTGCAGAGTGACTCCGTCGAAGGAACCTTGATCAACGGTTCCTCAACTTCTTCCCGTCTCTGGCTTTGAACAGAGATGTCCAGGATTAAAGGGAAGGGAGGGCTGGTTGGGTTGGGGGACACTTTTTGTTTTAGTCCTAATTACATCAGAAACTCTTGAGCTCCAACAATACCAGAGCCTTAAAGGAATGGGTGTCAATACCAACAGCGGCATTTAGTAAAAAGATGGGGGAGAAGTGCTCTGGGAGGCCTTTCTTGAATTTACACTTTCTATTTAGTAAAAAAAAAAAAAAAAAAAAAAAGGAGGAGGAAAAATCACAGCAAGTATGTCACAGTGAGGACCTGTTCAGATCCATGGGTGCAGTTTGAAAGAACAGATAGCAGAGAGCAATTTTTGAGACTTCCTTTCATTCTAAATTACACCTCTGAACGTGCTTCAGGTCACATCGTGTAGCGAGGGTTGCCACCTGGCCATTGTGAAAATATGGAGATAAGAGGAAAAGGAGTAGACCATCTGTTTCAGACACAGATACTAACAAATCAACTTGATTCAACGGTTTTTTTTAAAGGCCTTTTCTAAAGCCGTTTTCACATATGCACTCCTGAAAATATCTGGATAATTTCAGGACTTCAGGATTCTCCCGACCTGGCTGTTCATATAAGCTCCTCACAGCAGGAGACTGTCCCTGTCAGACAGGAGGGGGGGGCAGGGGGGTCTCCAGAGTTAAGACGTGATGCAAAAAAAAAAAAGATGCTGAAGTTGCGGACTAAGCCACAGAGTCCACCATCGATGCTATATTGAGAATATTTACCTTTATATCAATGCTACATGTAATTTGGCAGAATCACAATGTCAACAAAAGAGCAGTGAAGAACTTACTGCAGAAAAACTTCAAGGGGTCCGGCAGGAGAAACTTCAGGTGAAGTCCGAGCTAAAAAAATAAATAAATTCAGCTGTTCACACATGCAGCTCCTCCTGGAAATATCCAGAGTTTTACAGGAGCTTTTTCTGCAAATGTGAAAGCCCTATATGACACATTTTTGTCAGCACACATTTCTTAACATGGTTAAAGGCTTTATATGTGATTTTTCACACTTAAATGTAATAGAAATCAAGTATATCCTCTGAAAATAACTCTGTGAGTCATAACTGTCTACAATGGGTGTAACACGCGAGTCCCACTGTCTGTGATGTTTTCAGAGTCCTATCTTCAGTTTGTTTACATCGTCGGGACAGCCGGCCGGCTCCTCCCCTCACATATAAAAGTTGTTTAATTGAGGGACAAGAGAAAAGAAGAATAACATACTGTACTCACTGCTTAACTGTGTTTCTAGATCAGGCTCATTTCAGGTAAATTTACATGCAGTGTGACGATACGGGCATAATAAAGATCGCTAGCATTAGCATGCTAACACAACAATGCAGCGTGAGTTGTTTTGGTTTCATGCTGGTGCTCAAGGGCAACATCTGCTGGATCAAAAAAATCGCATATAAAGCCTTTAAGAAATGGTTTTTGGTGATTTTCCCATCTGCTATCATGCAGTACAAGTATTAACAGATGCAGTAACTGTCCAAAATACCTGTTTGGGTAGCTATAGTTTGTGTAAAGAAGTTCGACATACTATTTTTCCTGAGAGATGAGGGGAAATTAGACATACCACTAAGGCCGTCAAAACATAGCTACGAGCCCAAATTCAGTTATTCTACACACGAGTCTAGTCCTGTTCGAGGATCATGGTACCAAGGACATTTGTCCCTCAGCCTGGCTGAACACCTGGTTATGGACTGAACAATATGGTTGCCAAGAAAGCAAATTTGTAAACTTTGTACGAGTCTAGTTAAAAAAATCCAACAATGTTGACACCTCTACAGATCCCGCTACAACAAAAATAGGAATCCCGAGCACCCGGTATCAAGTAATTTCTTGTTCCAATTACACAAAAAAAGCAGGGAAACTCCTGCACTCTGTCTGAATTGCATTTATGTTTGCAATGTTGTGTTACTAAATTGTTGGACTGCTGAGAATTTCCTCATAACACTTTTTGAAGTTCACATCTGAAAAAAAAAAAACAAGGTTCAAAAGGTCCATTTGTAGGACAAGATGGCCACTTCCACTCAACAAAAACTGGACCCTCTATTCTGTGCATCCGAGCGCAAAATTGTAGTGTGCGGACAAAAGGGGGAATTGAGATCGGGCCAAAGTGTTTAGTCATTGCTGAAACACTGAAAACCAAAATAATATCTGCTTTACTACTTTAAACCCGCCTTATCATACCCCCACCCTTTAAGTCTCTGCAAAGTAAAAAAAAAATTCAGAAAGTTCACAACTATACTCACGACCAATTTTCATGAGGAACTGAGTGGGGTTTCTGTGGGATGGTGCATTTGAAGAAGAGAACATGTTCACATGTTTTAGAGCACAGGTGGCAACCCTGAGATCAGTGACCTGGTTGGCACAGAGGGGAGGCAATCTATAGTCTTTAGGGCTCTTGATTTGAGCATTTAACAAAAAGGGGCTCTCGAGGATCTGGAGTTGCTGCGCTGCTCTCTGCTGTCACATTCAGACAGAAAGGCACCAGACCAAGAGAGGACGCGAGGAGCATCGCGTGAGGGGGAAACAGATTATCTGTTACTGGCCGCAATTTAAATCTAAACAAGATATTAAGATCAGTCTCCCATCTTTACATCAATAGATGCAACATCTCAAAATCTGAACGACGGGAAACAAGATAATTTCATGCACGTGTTGCTTTTTTCCGTCTGTCAAGTGTTCGGACCCCCAAATGTTTTTACCCATGGAGAGCAGTGGAGCAGCATCTAGGCTGCGACCACTTCTTGTGATTTGGCATTCCCTGCTAGGTTAAAAATGAAACATAAGTGCCTTTAATCTAGTAATGCTACGTAATACAGCCAAATAGAGGATAAAGGTCGCATCAACTAAATATTATCGGGGATTCCAGTATGGATTTCTGGCTTTAAGAGCTGCTACTTTACTTTTAAAAAGAGAATCAGAATTTCAGATTCTGGCGTTGCTTAAATGCTTTTTGCAGTTCACATGAACTTGAATGACTGGGTGTACAGTATCCATTACTGTATCTTTAAGATTTAGGTAATGCAGCCAAGCTTTACAGGTATTGTAAACCATTATCGACCGCTGTAAGTGACTCAAAAACGTCCAAATTCTAACACGGTCTGGGTCTGAATTCTTGAGAAAAAAAAAAGGGTTCAATTTACACGACTTTAGAAAATGGTTGATAACAAAAGTCTTACATCTCCATCTACTGCTGCATTCAGACTGATCAGCTGGTGCTTCCTGGTTTACTGCATATTTAAAATGAGTTGACAGTGCCATTGAGTTTGCAATTTTCAATATTTTTAGCATGCGCTTGCTGTAACGGAGAACACTTGACACCGTCCTGTTTCTCTCTGTAAGGCTGTTTACGGTCCAATATTCTCAAAAAAAGAAAGGAAAGGTGAAAATTTATAAACATGATATGTTACTGGATAAAAATAAAAATCCCTAACACTGTGGAATTCCCAGGGTTTCCTAAAAGTGGATGACTACGCATTGTGTAGCACCTATGACAACTTTTAAGTGCTTTCACTGTAGGTCTAACAAGAGGCACTACACTATTTTGGTTGGAGTGAGACTATCTACATTTCCTCAAAGGTTCAAGCTTCCTTTTTTAAATAATGAGGTAATACTGATGAGGTGATTTGTTGTGTTCAACAAAAAAAAAAAAAAACTAAGATTAGCATCATTAGCACTGACAGGCTAAAGTTACACACTCGTTTTACAAATAAAAATGCCGTTCTCATGATTTACCCTTTTTCTTGAAAAAAAAACAAAATTCAAGAGCTTACTTGAAGGCAACTTTAACGGGGACAGAGCTGCTTACTGCTGAAAGGCCTGGTAGTAGTGAGGTAGGGAGCTGGAAGTGCTCATAGCAGAACTGCTGTATGCCTGAGGTAGCTGGCTGTGGTTGTGGGCGCCGGAGCCCTGGGGTACATGAGCCTGGGGAGGCTGGAAGAAGGTGAAAGGCCCTGGCGCCTGAGAGGACAGCCCAGAGGAGGAGGATGGAGAGGATGTGGTGGTGGTGGCTGGTGGGTAGCTCATCACTAACCCTCCCATCCCCATGTGAGGGCTGTAGGGCGGCAGGCTGAAAGGCAGAAATCCCAGGAGAGGCCCGAGGTCCATGTTAGTGGTGCAGGACAGCTCAGTTGAGGAGATAGCTGGGCTCCTGGACAGCAGGTGAGGGTCGCCGCCAGCACCCACCCCATCACCCAGAACCTCCCTCTGAGGGGAGGCAGAAGCAGAGGTAGAGGAGTTGGCCACACTCAGGTGAGGTGGGGGGGCACTCTGCAGGTCGAGCAGGAAGCTGTCCACGTCGGTGCGAGGATATGAGGTAGATCCGTGCTGGTACCTGGCCATGTTGCCGTAGGGCTGCTGCTGCGGAGCCACCGGGGGCTGCAGGTGGTGGTGGTGGGGATGGGAGGATTGCGGGGACATGTGGCGACTTACACCCATGCTTGAAGACAAGGAGCCCTGCATAAGGCCATGAGGGTGGCCCAACCCGGGAACAGGATTGGCTATGGGGTAGGAGTTGTACATGTCCCTGGAGTAATTCTCCATGGGCTCCTTCGAAACCGGGCCCATATCAGAGGTCACAGGGCTGGGCTCTTCCTTCACCGGGCACTGAGCAGCGGGGGTGGGTGTAGCCACAGGAGTGCTGGGTGCACAGGGTGGCATCAACCCCGTCTCCTGAGCATGACTCTTCTTCAAGTGGCGGGTCAGGTGATCCCTGCGGCCAAAGCGTTGTGCACAGCGCGGACACAGGAAGTCACGTCGGCCTGTGTGCACCACAGCATGACGCCGAACATCCTTACGGGTATAAAAGCGGCGGTCGCATCGTTCACAAGAGTACTTCCTCTCTCTCACTGGCACAGCAGCGTTTGTGTTTCCCTCTGACGGTGGAGGTCTGTCAATATGGGTGCCCAGGTGCTCCAGGAGGGAGGGCGCCCCCTCTGGGCAAGGCAGGTTTGCTGAAGCGCTGTGGGCCGCCACCAGGTGGCGCCTATAACCCAGCTGGGTGTTGTACTGCTTCCCACACTCCTGGCAGTGGAAGAGTTGCCTGCTGGCTGGTATGCTCTCCTGCAGCTGGCTCTTCAGATGGTCCTGCTGGTGGAACATGGTCTAACAGAAGGAACAGTACTGGCTCTGCTGGTGCGCGGGGACTCTGGCCAAGAGCCGGAGCAGACACAGACAAGACTCATGAGGATTCTCCAGAGCGCCGACCATCAGCCTGCAGACCTCTGCTCGTTTTGTTATCTTCGAGTGCTAGAATTAATGCTAAGTGCTGTTTGTTGACTGTTTGATGGTCTCTTGCAGCAATGACTAGTGGTCTGTCCTGCCTTACTGGGGCAAGCCTGTGTCCAGCACTTGGTCTCTGTGACAGCAGCTGCCATAGCAACCCCAAAAGGGCTGCGGTGATGAGGAGCTTTGGAAGCAGTGACTGGGTCTGTGTGTTCCCTGAGAAGAGCTCTTGTGTTGGCCCGCAGTCTATTTTAGTATTCAGCAGCCCTGAACGCCACAGACACAGCAGCTGAATCACAGAGGCAGATCAACATCTTTGCAGACCTGCAAACAGGAAGGAAAACTGTGTCACTTTGTGCAAATGATACCTTATCATTAAATTGTATGGCGCAGTAAGAAGCATCCTGGATGAGATGGATGATACGACGCATGTGTATTACAAAAATCAGACATTTTACTTTTATATACATAAAGGCAACAGATATTTAGTTTCATTGAAAACATCCCACCTTTTCTACTGCAGTCCCCAAAGTATGTTTTGTATATTTTAAAACCACTTCATTAAGCTTCCTGTGTTATCAATTATTTTGTAGTCGTTTAAAGAAAAGTGAGCGCTGTCTGTGAAATCATAATTAACCTTGATATATACTCTAGAGATCATTAAGGGGCAACCTTAATTTAGTCCAAAACCCCTTCATACTACCTCATGCAAAGCCGACCTACGCTGTCAGATGACGGTCGTTTGTAGGAATATACAAAGAAAATAAATCAATAATCTGAGGTAGCCTGAAAATGGCTTCCTCAGGTTCGTCCAGCATCTTATCATATTTGGGAGCTTGGTAATAAAAAGGGAAAACAGTGAAACGTTTTAAATGTGATTTTTTTAAGTTGCAAAGTCTCTCTGGGATGGAGAGATTGCTTTTAAAATTTGCCTAATGTGATTTTTTTATGTACCATCAATTCTTCCAACTTAAGCAGGGTACACACTACAAGATAACCGGGCCGTTTTTTGAAATCGTAAATTTCAAACGTGTTCAATTGTTATGATCAGAAATCCTGTTGTGTGGGGAGAACACAGAGGACGGATGTCGAGCAACGACTCTGTGCATTGTCACTTAGCCAATAAGGACGCGAGCTGACTGAAGCAGGAAGCACAACAAACACGGCCGTGGTGACGACGGCAAACGTGAAGTATAAAGTTAAATGGACGTCAGAAATTTAGGACCAACTTGTTGATTTGGGGCGACAACACGTGTTGTTGGATCGTGTTGTCGGAAAGGAGATGAACCAAAATGTTTACCGTAATGGATGTACCAGCTAACAGCTAGCCACCATTAGCTTGACCATCATGTTTGTTTACCATTAAGTCAAGTTTTCATACTCAAGATGGAGGATGAGTCAGTTAAGTGTGTGTTGTGCTGAGTCGATCATCCTTTTTGCTCTTCACACACGATAAGAACAGATCTGTTAATCTGTCATGATTTGTCATCATATGGGCACGCTCACATTTCTAAAATCGTTTAGCGTGTGCGGCGCCTCATCAACAGACGGAAAAAAATAAAACAGGCACGTCAGCAAAAAGATATCGGTATCGACCCCAAAAACCGTTTATCGGTCGAGCCCTTCAAACAAGACTTATAAATTAAATATGTTTCCTATTTTAAACTACTCATGTACATGAAGTATTTAAACTGCCCAGAGTAAGACCAGCAGCTGCATCAATAATTAACCCTCTGAACACTGAACAGGACCAATCCTGCAGAATTACAAATCTTACTTTCTCTGTGTATTAAAACCTTCATTTTTAGGGACGTCAGGATTCACTCACAATATGATTTATTTTACAAAATGAGAGCTTCTCATTGTGGTGTGGATTAAATGCTGCATCAAGTTGGTTGTTCTATTTGTGTAGTTCTCCGTCTTCTTGTAATATTTGCACACAGTTTTTTTCTCGTCTTTTATCTTCTCACCTCTTCTCATTTTCTGTCTTGGGGAAGACAAAATGCTTCCACACCTCCGATTTAAAAGACGGTGATGCGTCCTCAATTTCTAAATCTTGCTCTGCAGCTGCCAACTGCCTCTGCTCTGCAGCTGCTGACGCTCACCATGTTACTGCGATTCTTTTTTCAGAGTACCGATGTGAATCTTGACACCTTTCAATCCATTTATCGCAATTTTACAATGAATCTTTACATCCTTATTCATTGTCACTCACGATCATTTTAAAGATATTTGTTGTTGTGCGAGTAGTCTTTTACGCACTGTAGAGGTAAATAAACAAATACTAATGAATATAATATATTAGTATCTGCAGGGGACTCAGCAACTAAGGAAGTTTCAATTTGGATTTTGTCTTCCCACGATCATGAAAACAAGATAATCTAGATTAAACAATGACTCTGCAGCACGCCATGCTGTGCTCGTTTTCTCCATAGGTTTTGTTGTTTTTGTTATATTTTGGCCTCAGGAGTTCATCACCACTACCTCAACAACGGTTTATTTATTATTATTATCATCATATATTATCAGTGTAAAGATCATTAAAGTGTTCAGACGGTTTAAATTCGATAAATGCTCGCAATTCAGATGTTGTAAAATCGTGATTATGATTGCTGTCCTCAAGCGGCCCGAGTATCGGCTGCAAAGATTACCACAATACCTGTCTGAAAAATGTCAATCCTGAAACCAGACGAATCCAAAAAGCTTTTTTTTACCCACTCAATTATTACGTGTGCACCACCAACCTGACAAGGGACTACAGATGGAAATTAAACAATCTGGCGTATTTACATATTTATGTTCATTAATGTTCACTTTCCCTTTTTTAAATGAACAAATAATTTAGCACCTATTATTCTGAAGGTAGCTGAAAGTTAGCTCCTTGAGCTTCATCTGACTGAATCCAAATGGTGTGAAAGCCAGTTTTCAAACCCACGTCTCCTTCCAAAAGGTAAAAAAGTGTAAAATATTAGCTTTTTTAAATATTTATTTTACTAATCGAGATGATTTCATTCTATTGCGATGCATTCTTTTGTGAATGCTCACTTTGTGGTAATGATAACATGTGTTGTCCTAATGTGTAATCTGTTTGGGTCCAAGAACAAAACAAGATTAATGGACCGGGGTATTTCTCTTCAGTCCTTCACTGCACAGTAGTTTCATCTCATATATTACTTTTTTAAAAGCTTCTGCAAGCTGCATGAAAACAGCTGCTCTTACACTGCCTTCAATAATATTTTAATTTACAATGCAGCCCCTGTTTACAAAGTTGTTTTCCCTTTTGTATCTCGGTGTTTAAACTTAAGTTGGATGTTCTGCCACACATTCCCCCATCATAAAAGATGTTAATATGGAATTACAGAAGAAGCAAGAGCAGCTGGAAAAGTGGATATTTGAGTGAACATGAGGGGGTGATGTGATGGGAGCTGGTAGTGCCATCTTGTGGGTTCACAACATGGAGCTGCCATGAAGCTCCGTGAGGCGTTTTTCTGCTTGAACCCTGCCGATGAAGTTGAGCTTAAAAGTGAAAATGCATCTTTAAAAACATCTAGGGGACACATGCAATCAGCCCGAGGGGAGTTTAAGTGAGCAGACGACGCGGAAAAGTGGTGCAGACTGCCGGGGGACCGGGGGTCACTGTTACCACACCGGGGCTAATTTTGACTGCTAGCCCAGGCTGCGCTTACAAAATTCGGCGGCGGTGGCTCAAGTTCGGTTAAAATATCGGATGTTTTTGTTCGCAATGAGCTGCTTTAACGTCGAGGAAAGCCTCCAGGAAGAGTTAGCATGAATGTTGTTGGAGTTAGGGAGTTAGCCGAGCAAGCATGCTGGTTTTAAAAAACACAAAAGATGAGCGCTTCACTAAGTTATATCGGAGTTTGTGTTGCGCGGAGCTAACTAACTAACTCCTCCATATTTTTTTTTTTTGGAGTTCACGCTGCAGATAAAGAGAGGAGGAGGGGGGGTTTACCGGACCACAAAGTAAACGGCGGCTAACTTACCGACTGTGCCTCCGTCCATCTCTCCGTCCAGCCTCCATTCCGCCTCCATATCGACATTTTGGGATAAGTTTTTCAAGATGTTTCTCAGAGTCCGGGCCTGGACTTGCTGCTGCTGGGCGCCGCGCTGGGAGCCATGCATTCTGGGAGAGTGACGTCACGACCCGGGCTGCAGAGAGAGGAGGAACTCCTGCAGGAACCCAGAGCTGCACAAACAAACACGCCACATACTTGGGGATATATTTAGCCCCTCATTGATTAAACCCGATTTCATATGAAAAGATCAGTCATAAATTATGTAGAGAGGATTCATTTTAAAGGAGTTTTGGTGGTGAAATTTGAAAGTTGGAGAAGTGAAACAATATGCTATATTTTCTGAACTGAAAACACAAACTTCACTCAAAGAAAAGTTGGGTCCCTTGAACAATGTTTGGAGCTAAAAAGCTACCAGGAGAGTTACGGTTTCACTGTTGCGGGCCCCCCAACACAACTTCTAGCATAGCATTTTATCTTCAAACAGTGTTACAGGGACCAAATGTTCCTATGAGGACAGTTTGTGTACAGAGTTATGAACATATACCACACTTCTGCAACTTTCACATTCCTCTACCAAAACTACATAGTGCACATTTAATTGCCAGGACTTTTGTAATCATTTGCACCCAATGATTATCCTCTATTTGCCGTTTATGCTGTTCTTCTGCATAAACTGATTTCAATTGAATCTGTTCTCTTTTTTCATGTGACTAATGCTGCATTCAGGTGCTCCTCGGGTGCTCCAAGTTTCCAAGTTTCTCGGCTATGATAAAGGCAGAGTGTTAATTACATAATTACATTTTTTATTATCATGGTTAGTTAGTTTGCACTATTGTCTCATTAAGTCTTTGATTATTTTGTGTTTAGTGTTGACTTTTAATGTTGTACTTTTGTAGGGAGCACAGTTTACTAAAAACAAATCTCTCGTGTGTGTGTGAGCATAGCTGGCCAATAAAGCTGATTCTGCTCTGATATTTTTTAAAACAAAACGTGTTCTTCTCTTTCTTACTTTCAATGCAGGTTACGCTACAAGGCTTCTGCTAACAATCTGAAGTAAACACTATTTAATGCATTCTCTGTTCAAGTTGCATGATCTGTTATACGTCTGAAAATAAGAATTACTTCCATTATTATTTTAATTGAACACATGTTTTGTATTTGTTGGGTATAATTAACCAACCATTGCCAAAACTATGTTTTGTTCTTTTTTGGGCCATGTTTGCCTTTTACTATATGAGAGAGGACAAGCTGAAGAAAAACAGGAAATGATGCAAGGAGAGAGAGGGGGACGACATGCAGAAATGGGCCGTGGTCAGAACCGAACCCAAGGCCTCTGCAACGGGACGACAGTCACCGTACATGGGGCGTGAAACACAACCACTAGGCCATCCGACGCCCCACCATTGACAAAACTTGAATCTAAATCTATGTCGTACTTGTCTTAATTCAATGTTGTAATACAGTTTTAAATTCCAATATATTGGTCAGATACACTTTTAGACATACTTCATTGCTTAGTGAAATGTTTTGGTCACTATAGCCAGCCAAGATACATGCACATTGTATACATGACATAGATTTAAGGTACAACAGACTCCCAGAAATCCAAAAATTACAATTAAAAAATCTTGTGCAGGATGATTATCTTGTGTGCACAAGATATCAACTGGTCTCTGCACATTTTTTGGGACTTCGGGGTTTTGTATATCATTCATTTGAGACTTGTGGTTAATACTACCTACATGTGTTGTGCACCAAACCGTACAGCAGTTGTGCACTTAAATGTGTTTATATGACCCAATTTATATTTTTTTATTTTCTGATTTAAATACCAAATATATCCTATTTCTCCCAGCTGGGCATCAGTTTTACAACACTATGGATTAGAGAAAATATTGTCTTAATGGACTCATGTTTTATCTATGAAGTGGCCGATATGTGACATACTTGTGCAGAGGGGAGGAAGCCTGAATCAAAAACTGTGCTCTTCTGATATCAAACATCATTATGTTTTCTGTTTAAATTAGCTACATTTGCATGCACGGGGGCTGCTCGATGTTTTGTTGCATTCCTGCGGAGGGTTTGACCTCTGACCTGGTTGTTGCATTCCTTAGAGGCTTGTCCTGCAGCAGCACACACTCTCAAACACACACACACACACACACACAGCCAGCCAGTCAGCCAGCCAGCCAGCCAGCCAGCCCTGCACTCACACTGCTTCTGTGCTACAGAGAGACGATATGTGTTGAGCTAGCTCCGAAAAGGCACTGCACATAGTAGCGACATATATTAGATACTAGCAGACGCCACAGCATTCTCCCGAGCTACAGGAACGTCTTGTTTTGGCTCCACAAAAGTGAACCTGGAATCGTAGTTAGCCATTTTGCTAAGCAGCTAAGTCGCCATCGTATTGCTTTTTGTAGACACAGAGCAGGCTAGCCGCAGACACAAGCGCAGAGGAAATGAAGGACAAACAAAAGAGAAAGAAGGAGCGGACCTGGGCTGAGGCGGCTCGCATGGTAAAAACACTCCTATTTAACGGTTCAACGAGCTGCATGTGAAATAACTTTGTGAATGAATTCATGTGAAACGATGGATCCAGATGTGTTGTTGTGTTTGGCCATTCTCCTCACGACCACAGCCTGAGCTATGCTAACCCAACCAGCTAGCTCCTGCTAACCTGCCCAGTTTGCAGGATATATATTTAAATATGTGTGTGTATTTGAAACATAACCAGGGGGCATATCTTTACCTCTGCTGCGCGTCTCTCTGACTGCTGATATAAAAAGTAACACACGTAACATGCTAACGCAGGCTAGCACGCTAGCATCCACCTCTCCTATTTTAAGCTCTTTGTTTGCTAGGCAACAAGCCTGCTAGCCGAATGCTAATCATCATTCAAGTAACCCGAGTCAAATAATAGCAACGCTAGCCTTACACTGAGAGTGTGTGTGTGTTGTGAACAAACCAGCATATTAAAACGTCACCTCGTTGTTCTCGTAACATGAAGGAAACGCGTATTTAATTGTAATAGTAGCCAATGTTGTTGCCCATAATGCTAGCTGGTGTTAGCACAGCTGAATGCTAACTCAGCTGTCTTGTGAATCCACATTGTGGGCTCGAATGCTAAAGATGGGAAATCAAAGACATCCTGCTGACGGGCATCAATCCACCAGCTCTTTGTCTGAATATTAACGAGCAGAAGATGCATTTTTAAACTAAAAAGGAGTGTTCATGTGCAAATGTACACGGCTAACCCTTTAAACGAGCGAGCATTGTTTGATTTACTAAAATGCAGTGTGACTACTTAGCTCTTATGTCGGATAAATCAAACATGATGATTGTGTAGAGATGTTTAAGGTGTGTTTTTTTCACTGTGGGTGCAGTGTGTTCATTATACTTTGCTCCGATTTTACAAGACAGGCCCATGTGCTTTCTACTCAGATTGTTTGCAGAAAGCAAAACTGAAATCCCAATTTTGATTTTGATGAACTGGAGTCAACATTTATGTCCATGCAGTGCACATGCAGATACAGAACAGATGGTTGCAGGGATGCAATGCAACCAATGAATCGTTTCATTATCAATGAATTAACAGATTATTTTGAGATTAAACCAAATGATGCAAATTTACAAGATTTAAAAAAACAAAGATGTGAAAGTGTGCTGTCTTTAGTGACATCTTTTGAGGGCTTAATTTGTCCAACAATAGTTAAAAACCCAACAACTCTTCATTAACGGTCATACACGTTAAAGCAATGCAACAAATCCTCTTAATTAAGAAGCTTGAATCTGCAAATGTTTGACATTATCACGTGACAGATGACACACGATGAACATATTTCTAAAAATGATTAGGCGTTTTATTTTCTTTCAGACAATTTGTGGACTTATTGTTGCGGATGTACACAGGTCTGATGCGTAATATTGAATGTTTCATGAACCCTTTATGTGGTTTAAAGAGAAGTTTAAGTCAAGGAAGAGTTGGGTATTTTCAAAAACATATTCTGTGTTATTTCATTTTGTCTTGAAGGTGAAAGGATTCAGCTTGTTGGTGCTTTTTTTTGGTCATGGATTCACAGCTGCAGCTCACACAAACTCCTCGACTCTTTTATTTTTTCAAAACAGAGGGTTTCCTCCTCCGTTTAAAAAATCCTCTCCACACACACACACTAAGATCTCAAAACCATCTTTGTCCACATGAAAACACTAAAAAGCACCGTTACGGCTGTCATCAGCACGCCAAGTCAACAAAGATGTCCTTGACATACTAAAATGTTCTTGCCATTCCTCTGCAACGACCATTTCATCTACAAAGTTGTCCAATCAGGTCCCTCTGGTGGTGCTAACAAAACCTCTAACAGCAGTCCAACACCCCACTGTTGAGTTTTAAATCTTTAAACATCAAGCCAAGCACTTTCAATACAACATGTACGCCAGAAGAGATGTATGAAAGTCTGATAATTAATGTGTTTCCATTTATAGCATGACAGTCTTCACATCCTTGTGGCAGATTTCTCTCTTTGTTGAAATTAATTATGATATTGATTCAGGAGTTCCCTTGTTGGAATTGAAAGAGGGGAGGGGGGTCTTACAGGCTCACACTAGATCATAATAATAAATTAGACTTATATAGCACTTAACAAAGAACAACGACAAAAGAAAACAACACAAAAAAGAAATAATGTCAAGAGAAGGAGGATGAGCACAGAGTTTGTTAGTGGTTGTTTGTGATGTTGAAGAGGTGAGGTTTATTTTAAGGGATTTCTTGAAGGTTTTGAGTGAGGGGGAGTCTCTGATGGTTTTTGGGACTGGGAGCAGCAATGGAGAAGACCCTACCCCCCCAGGATTGATGGTTAGTCCTTCATGGGGGGTGCAGGAGGTTTGTGTCAGCAGACTTGAGAGTGCAGAGCGGGAGCATGCCGGTCTAGGATTGAGACTTCTCTTATCATTGCTTTTCCACTTTTCTCACACACTGGGTGACATCAACTGTGCAAGTATTGTCGTTGGAAACCACTTTTCAGAGAAGCGCAAAAATTTCAGGATCGGGTTTGCACCTACTTGACTTATTCAGTCCCAACGTTGGGCTTCCTGTGGTCACTTCTGAGTATTCATTGAACACCAGCG